TATATATATGTAGCCCTGTTGTTGTACCAGCTCGTAAGAGATAAGATGTTGCAGCTGCAGGTGGAGCCAGAGAGCACAGTTTTGTGGGGATTGTGTACACAGCAGAGGAGGAATTCTATCTGACTATGTGTACATGAACTACATTTCCAAGAGTGCTACAGGGGAGAGGGGAAGTGAACTATCTGTGAAACTACAAATCCCATGATGCATCTCTCTGTGGCTTCAATGCCTCATGGGATTTGTAGTTCCACCACAGCTGGAGGGCCGGAGGTTTGCTATTATAATTTAATTTAGAATAACTGCATTTATAGTTCATTACTATTATGCTTATGCTTACTGTTATGCTTGTGTCTCATATACAGTCTATGTGTCATACTGTGTAGAGATAAATGTTAATCATATACATTGCTATTCAGATTATTATATACAGTAAATAGTTATTTACAAGGTGTGCTGTGGATCCGTTACTTGAGGTCTATCACAGAGGTAAAACAGAAGTACCCGTATATTCCAGCGGCTCCTTTGGGGGTACCTGAAGATAGCGCTAGGTCTTATTTTCGGGGTAGGTCTTACTTTCGGGGAAACACAGTATATAGTGTGTGTGGGGTATTTTTTCATGTGTATGGGGGGGAGTAGAAGTGTACTAGGCTCTATTCACACCTGTATCTTTAGGTGCAATTAGGGGTTCCTGCATGAGGAAGATGGGTTTCCTGCAGCAGGAATCCCTGATCTGGCGTTTTAAAGCGGCAGCTGTCACCTATTCAAGTTAATGATCAGGTGACAGAAGTTGCATGTAAACGCCTGCACACCGCATGTAATGATATGTGATATGCAGGGGCATAACTAGAAATCACAGGGCCCCATAGCAAAATTTTGTATGGGGCCGCGTGATTTCTAGTTATACCCCTTGCAGAGCCCACTCGAGATCCCACCTCAGGGTGAACCTGCAGAGCCCACCATAGAGTCTCTATGGTGGGCTCTGCAGGGTTACCCTCAGGTGGGCTGGTCGCACTCCTTACCTGTCAGCCTCCTCTTCGTCTACGGTCGCTGATGGGCCCCGCCTCCTCCTCCGTCGCCGGGCCCGCCTTCTTCTTCGTCACAGGGCCCCGCCCCCTCCCCTGCTGCCGATCACGGGCCCCGCGCCTCCTGCTCCAACGCCGCTGCTGGCTCTCATTGACTCTGTGGAGAGTAACACGCTGCTGCACAGATTACTGCCAGTGATCTGCGCAGCGGCGCGTTCGTCTTCAGCCGCCAGTGAAAGCCACCAGCAGAGGATCCCATAGCGACCCAGGCGGCCCGCACGGCATCTGGCCGGGCCCCACTGTGCCCCGGGCCCCATAGCGGCCGCCTGGGTCGCTATGGTGATTGTTACGCCACTGGTGATATGATTAAACTCGGTTAGGAATCAATCACTCTCTCTGGACGCAATGCTTGTGCATTCAGGGAGAGTGTTTTCTGACCGCATGTAATAATATCACATACCATTACACGCGGTGTGCAGGCGTTTACATGAAACGAGTGTCGCCTGATCATTAACTTGAATGGGTGACAGCTGCCGCTTTTAAATGCCAGATTAGGGATTCATGCTGCAGGAAACACAAGTTTCTGACGCAGGAAACCCTAATCGCGCCTAAACCTACAGATATGAATGGGGTCTTATTGTGTGTGTATTAGGGTCCGTAGTACCGAACCGGATGTAGTTAAATTTTATTTTAAAGTATGAAATTTTACAAGCGGCCCCCATGGGAGAAAAAACTTTTTCGAGTGGCCCCCGAGGGAATTGAGTTTGAGACCCCTGCTCTAAGGTAATGCATCCGGGGATAGGAGAGGAGCCACAAGACTCAATAGAGTTAATATTATTATACAGGATTTATATAGCGCCAACAGTTTGCGCATTACAATCACAATACACTTCAAGACATGATGGTAAGGAGGGCCCTGCCCCTGAGGGCTTACAATCTGAAAGGGAGGGGGAGGTGATACATGAGGAGGGAGCTGTTTGGGGATGAATTGTTTGAGAATGTGATGGTTCAGTGGTTAGGTTGAGGTGGGATAGGCTTCCCTGAAGAGATGAGTCTTAAGGGATCGCCTAAAGGCAGTCGGAGTGTAATTATCACATACGCAAAATAAGTATTTTTGGGTTGATTTAAAAAATGGAGAGGACTAGAGAGAAATAACATGTTGAGTGAAGTAGACACCAGAAATATCTTGCCCTGGTGTAGGTTAGGGTGTAAAATCATTGAGCAGTGTTTGTACTTACATTGAAAGGCTGTCATAAACGTGATAGTTCAGGGGTTAGGTTGAGGTGGGATAGGCTTCCCTGAAGAGATGAGTCTTTAGGCATCGCCTAAAGGCAGCCAAGGTGGTAGATAGACGGACAGGTTGGCGTAAAGAGTTGCAGAGGATGGGAGAGACTCTAGAGAAGTCCTAGAGTTCACTAAATATAAATGAATCTCGCCTCTCCTCTTTTGTTTGTCGGTCTGTTCAGTTGAACAGAAGCAGGCATGCTGCCTCCAACAGTACCTTATTAAAATAATGACATGACACAAGTGGTGGATCTTGCACAAAAAAAGCACCTTCACTTAGATGTAACTAGGACAGCATAGTGTCTAAAAACATTACTGCAAATAGTGTCTTTCTAAACTGCATACTCTTGGAGCATTTTAAAGGGGGG